AGTAAACACCGAAAAAAATAACTTAAAAAAAATAATGTAAGACATTAATCAACCAAAAATGGAACCTACTTACTTTGCTTGAATTTCCTAAAGGTTGGTTAGGCTTTCCTCTTCTTTCTTTTCTTTCTTTTTCTTTTTCTTTTCCTTTCCTCTTCCTCTCTTGCTTACTATTTTTCTCTCCCAATTTTGGTGGCTACGTACTGCCTAAAAATTTACTTATCATTTGCACTCTTTCTATATATATATATATATATATATATATATGTATGCTTAAAGTCTTGGTCTAAGTAAGTGTACAAATTCTCGGATTTAATTTGGAAGAGTGGAAAGTTAATGGTGAGTCGGGAGAGAAAGGTGGTAGATTTCGGAGGGTTAGAGTGTGCGGGACTTAATTCATTAATTAAGGGGGATTAGGTTTCCTAATTAATTGGTTAGATTAAATCAAGTAACTAAACACATTTCTTTCCATTAAATTTTAGAAATCCCTCCCCCTAAACTCGAAATTTTCTTCCCCAAAAATGTTCCAGCAGTGATGCTTCAAGACCGACCTATACTAAAATGGTCATAGCTCTTTATATAGGTCTAAAAATTACAAAATGTTATAGAGTGCTAGTAGACACATATAAGAACAACTTTTATTCTTTAAGTTTACCCAGAAATCACTCTAAAGTCCTCAAATAAATCACATAACATTCGGGCGGAATATAGTCCTCAAAACACTCGATTTTGCATATTGATTTCTTTAATAATTAAACCATTAATCTCAAGCACAATAACATTAATTTAACCTAAATCAAACATTTCAAGCATTAATTTCTCATGGTGTAATAATAATTATACTTACCCTTAATGTATGCATATATATATCAATATTCTAATACATATCGCTTTACGGTTAAGGATTTTTATGGGGGTTACACAAATCATTCCTTATCTTTGTTACATCATTCTCTATTTTCTTAATGTTAGACTCTACTAGTGTATGTGTGGTTTTACTAGTTAATAACATTAACTCTTTGTAATGGTTAAATACCAGTTCCATTTTAGTTTGTGTTTATCCTTTATCTATTAAGTTAAAGCCTAGTACTTAATTTCTATTAACTTATATGCTTCTTTAAATCTAGCTTCTATATGTTTTTGTCTCTCCTCAATTAATATATGGATATGTACATCAATAATATGTTGGAACTTTGCTAATTCTCCTTTATCTTGCTCATAAGTGTTTGTTGCAAGGGGATGGCTTTCATCATCTTCATCCTATGTTGATGGGACTCTTAATGTTGATCTTGTTGGTGCCATCAAGTATAGTACTCCTATAGTAGTCACTAGGAAAACTATTTTGGGTTTTTTTGTGCCAACCTCAACTAAGAGGAATTTATAACAAAAGAATCAAAAGATGATTGGGACGGTTCTACAAGTGTCGCCGATCTTCCAATCTTATAGGTAAACGAACCAAATCAACTTGTAAATACAAATTACAACTCTTAATGATATTTTTAGAGTTTAATATTGTAAAAAAGCTAAATTAAAATAAACTAAATTGGTTGCAATTGACTTAGACACCCTTCATAAAGAGACTCGTAACCTTTCAAGTTTGTTGGATTATAGGATTATAGGGTAAATAACTTGAAATAAAATATGAATTAAGATAAAAGTCAAACTCGCTAATCTAATATGGAATCAAAACAACATGATTAAACTAAAAAATTAAAAAAAAAAATTAAGCAATCAAACACTAAGAATAACGAGTTGCAATATGAACAAAAACTTAATAATTAGAACTAAAAAACATTATAAAGCGATATTGTCATATTTAACATACCGAATTCAATGAACTTCGATAAAAGAAAACTACAAATATTAATAAATAGATGCTCCAATCATAATAGTTATCAAAAGAATTAGGAATGATGATGATTGCAAGCATGAATAGAGGATCAAAAACTAACTATCAACCTATAATTATCACCTAGTGATTACCGCCTACTATTAATGTCCGTTGATTACTACTTATAAGTTATCCTCAATAAATTATCGTCTACTAGCTACTACCTAACAAATTTCAAGTGTAAAACTTGTGAAAGTGTTCCTTGAGATGTTTGCAATTTGCTTGAATTTGCTTATATTTGGTATTGTTGTCTATTGTTCTCTTTGGATGCGATTGATATTTATAAGGCTTTTGCTCCTTCAAGATCTCTATTAATGGACCACTCTCTCTTATGTAGGTTGTAGTGCTTCATGTTCTTGTTTCCTTACGCTAAAATGTCTTTCTCTATCATCGTTGTGCTGCAATTTCTCATGTTTTTTTTTTCTAACTATTTAGATCATACTTTTATTGCTATTACAAGTTTGTTATTTTTTAACTACCTGCACACTACTTGTTTTCCGTCGTTTTGCCTCTCTAGAGTAGGATTTTTCCCATTTTCATCCAACTTTTGCTCATTAAAAGTCTATATTCAATTGGTTTCGGAGGAAACTCCAACAATCTTGCTTGGCCTAATTGATTGGGCTTTAATATGAACATTGGGCTTAATAAGTTGAGATTGGCTTCGCTTGAAAAGAATAAACCTAATAGGCTTTTAGTGAAGCTAGTCAAGAAGGTTTAAGGTGAACCCATGGAAGAACTTGATGAGTTTTATCCATCTTTTCCAATTTATTAGACACATACCTAAAATAAATTTGGGTATAACGAGTCTTGTGTTTTGGTGAAAAAATAATAAAAACATTTTGAGTGTTAAGGTATTATGGTTAATATATACCCTATTGTATGAATGTTATTCTTTACTTCTCAAATCATCAATAACAACAAGAACGCTTAGAAATTTGTCTATGATTTTTATTTTGTAAAATATTTAGTCCATTGGAAGTGTTTACATTAAGTCATAGCAAGAATATTCTTGAAGAATCGAAAACGTTATGAGCATAATGACATATTTAGACATGGTTATTGGGGTGGTGTGACATGAATTAAGAATGGGTTAATGATTGAAAGGGTTTTCTTTTTTACTTTCTTGTTTCTTGATCATGTCTCTTTAAGGTATCATAAAATTATAAATAGCATTCAAAAATTTAAAAGTTTAACTAAAACTCTCTTGTAATTTGAAATAAAAATACTATAAATATTTTACTTTATACTCAAAATTTATTTATTGTCATAAAGGTAAATTTAAATCCATCAAAGATATTTTTATTTTCACAATGCATATATATATATATATATATATATATATATATATATATATATAAGAGTGAAATTACGATATTAGACCGAAAAAACAAAAAAAAAACAAAAAAACAAAAAAGTTGACGTGTTTCATAATTATGCGAGACTAATAGTATGATTTAACACCATTAATTGAAAACTTAACGGATGATCAAATTTAAGATAGAAACTAAATAAAAAACAACTAAGACAAAAAAAAAAAGACATGATAAAAAAAAACCTTGTAATTATTAACCCAATTAAGAATCTAATATCCTTGATCAATGAACTTGAACTTAAACATACATACATACATACATACATACATACATATATATATATATATATATATATATATATATATATATGAAAATAAGAGGTACATAGGAGGGGGGAGAAGACAAGGGAGGGTCCTCTTTCAACTAGTTTTTGATAAAGATAGCTGCAAATTGAAGGAAAGAAAAAGTAGAATTCTCTTCATACTGATATTTAATTGGCTGTATTTTCTGTTTTGATCATAGGGTAAAATACATAGGATGAAATTAAGAACCTTTTTATTCTTCCTTCAACTCTCCGTGACATACATTTACTATTAGAGACTCATCTAATTTTATTATTTAAGCCGTAATGCCCTTAAAATTAATTTTCACATTGTTGATTTGAATTTGCTCGCAAAATTAAACAACTCTTTGAAATTAATAAATTAATTAAAATCCCAAATATCTCATTCATTCTTACTGCAGACTTTATCAAGAAATTAGGCACTCTCATTCACGCTAAGTTGCCAATCTTTTATCATGTGCCTAAAAATTCATGTTGGTGCACACCTAAGGACAAACCCAATTAACTATTTATATTGATTCCTCTTTTATGTACATATGTCAAGATTTGAACTCAACTGTTTGTGGATCATGATCATAACAACAATCATGCTAAAAAAGAAAGACATTAAAAATGCACTTTGTTTACTTTAATATAGGGAGTAACATTATTAAACCAAGTTCCCATACATTGTCAAAATATGGGACTAATCATGCCTTTCATGTAGTTACAGATTGCATTTTGGTAGCCGCATTTTCTTGAGACCAACCCGGTTGTACTTGTATCGGCATACTTTGGGATTTCTACTTTCACTTTTTGAGTTGGAAACTAACTGAAAAGCAGGCTTTAATCTTTATGTATTGTGGTGCCTATTGCTAGTTAATATTATTCTGAAAACAATGCACTCCGATTGGCTTCATATGGAGGGGACCAGGGCAAGTTTCTTGGCTCTAAAGGGATCTAGATGGAGATCATCATGACCGACTTGAGTCCTGATCTGCAATTCAAAACTCTATTATATACTATGTACGTATATTGGTAATATTTGAAGTCTAAATCATTCACTTCAAACTAATGGGTTGATGCATATATGCGTGTGTGGCCCGGTCCATTAACCATTTCAAGTATGTATAATTGACTTTTGGGTGCAGCTGATATAAAGTGCTTAGAAGAATGTTTCACTAAGAATCAAGGGAAAATATCTCAATCTAAGAAATACATTAATTTCTTCTTTCATTTTCAAGACTTGTTAATCCCAACATGGTCTCATTTCCACTAAAAATATAATCTTTTCTTTTTGCCCACCTGTGATTATGATTCAGCCTAGTTTTGGTCCTTTTGGACGTTGATTTATTAGCGGTTGCTGCTCACTTAAAAAGTGTAATATTTATAACCTTACATGTTCAGTATATCACTCCACCACAAGAAATCAAAACAAACTTCATTTGCCTCACCTCTACTTATTGCAAAACCTCCAATGGAGTCACAATCTCAAAAGAAGAATTCACTTGACAAAATTAATTTGGTCCAAGAACCAGCATGCACCAATCCTTCTTGTTTCTTTTGCACCATGAATGAACCAGACCCGTCTCTCAGAAAAGCCAAACTAGCTCGATGTTTCAAAGAAATGCCTCTGAGAGATGACCAAGAACATGTCTTGGTCTTACGTGGGATCTGGAACATTGCCATGACTCAACCCGATGATCCTGAATTCCCATCCCTTGGCATCTTTGAGTGCATGGGAAGGCTGATCCAAAGAGCCGTCAACGATAAAGAATGGCTTCTTAGAGATCAAAACATCTACATCCCATACTATGCAGCACATACCATTGGTTCATATACCATGAACAAAGTTCATTTTGCAGAGAAAGCAGTTAACTCGAACGTGGTTATGCCTCTCATAGAACTTCTGAGAGGCAAAATCAGTTGGGTTGAGCAAAGAGTTGCGGTTCGATCGCTAAGTCACTTGGCTAGCCATGAGAGAACCTTCGAAGCCATTGCTGAGCATGAAGTAGAAATCATAAAGTTGGCCATGGAAATAGCTTGCAATTGCATCAGCACCGTCTACAGAAGATTTATTGGTGTCAAAAATAGCAAGAGAGTGAAGTACCATTCTGACCTGCTTACAACAGGGCTTGGAGACTTGGAGATGGAGAACAGGAAGGCTGAGGAGTGGGCTAGTCAGTTACAATGCTGGTCTTTGCATCTCTTAGACTGCTTTGCTTGCAAAGGAAGATCACTAAATCTTATCTGCAACAAACACTTCTTGAAGGAGTTGTGTGGCATGTGGGGTGGCTTGGTAAATTGCGCATCGCCTTGTGGAATAGGATCCATTAGAACTCTGTGCAACTTCAAGACTGGAAGAGAAAGTTTAGCAAATTCTAAAGAAGTGATAGAGAGTCTATGCAATATCTCAAGATCTTCTGATGATTGGCAGTACATGGCTATTGATTGTGTTCTCTTACTTCTAAAAGACACAGATACAAGATATTTAGTCATAGACACCGCAGCTTTATCTCTGGCTGATTTGGTTGAGCTAAGAAGCCTTAATGAAAGAAATAATGTTGGAGAAACGATAACACAGACACTCTTACAAGATTACCATAAGATCAAATATGGTGACTTAAAATTGAGGAGCCAAGATGCTGAGAGAGCATTGAAGGAGACATGGGATTTGATGGTAGAGAGAAGAAAGAGAGAGAAGTTAATGTCTGAACAAGAACTGAAAGAAAGGAAACATTTGGTAGGCATGCTGAAGCAAGAAGGAAACAAGAAGTTTTGGTCCGGTCACATTGAAAAAGCTGTTACCAAATACACAAAAGCCCTGGATTTGTGCCCATTAAAGATGAGAAAAGAGAGAATAGTTCTGTATAGTAATAGAGCTCAGGGTTATTTGCTGCTCAACAACCCTGAAGCTGTAATCAGTGACACAACTAGAGCCTTGTGCCTGTCCACTTCTGCGAGTCCTCACAAGAAGAGCCTGTGGAGAAGGGCACAGGCTTATGACATGAAAGGGTTGGCCAAGGAAAGTTTGATGGACTGCTTAATGTTCATCCAAGGCCGCACGAAAGCTGAGCAAACCAAGCATGCCAAGATCCCATACTTCGCAGCACGTATGATTCACAAGCAAATGAATGCCACATGGCTTTTCGCAACCATTGCCAAGTCAAAAAACAAATATGAAGCTAAAGTAGAAACACCTGAAGTACTAGAGCATGGAGAGGACCCATGCCAAGTGACAGAGATCAACGAGAGAAATGGTGGGTGGTAACCTTCAGATTCTTAAAATGAAATTCTTTTTCAATTATCATTGAATTTCTGTGGCCTAATTGGATGTCCACTGACCCTTCAACTAGATCACAAATATCCCTTTTATTCTTTAATCTCTTTCATCCTAGTGCATGCAGAATTTGCCCTATAAGCCGCTTTTAATACTGACAGGATTGGGCTGCATCTGCTTAGCTAGTTAATAGTTATTTAATCAGAGTACTCATTAAGCTTTCATTATTGATTGAATTATAGTCCATAAAACATAAAATAGCTTTGCTCTTTGCCAGATTCAGTTGCAGAAGAATCGATGATGGAAGGGAAACGGAGGAGAAGAAGCAAGCAAGATAGGTTGAGGAGGAGAAAAGAAGCTGCTGTCATTACTGCTGAATTGGCAGCTCAAAATGCAGTGAGATGAGTAAATCCGAAAGATGAACTCTGGAAGTTTCAAGGCAGATCAACGTTCACTATATATTCATGACCATATTAATGGAAAGGAGACATGGATTGGCCAATTATTGTGACAAGCTAAAGCTAGCATAAGATTAAAAGCACCGTCACGTGGCTAATTTCAAAATTGCGCCTATGTAACAATACCTAAAGGTCATTGATTTTCGTCTTTAGTAATGTTTACTAGAGTTCATGCCAAGCTATTTTAAGTACTTTTCCCACACTAACACATTTTAGAGTTTGTTGCTTTTATTTCTGCCTTACTAATCGCCAGAACTTTTTTCGTCGAGTAGGTAAAACCTGCCTTCTAATTTCCCCACTAAATCAATTGATGATCTAATGACGAAAGTAATACCCACTAAGAAAATCTAACCAAATCTTTTCTAATACCTAATCTAGATTTTACATATGTTAATTATATCTTACCTAACTCACTAATTGTACTTTATTGTAGAGTATTCAGGAATTAGTGATTAATATTGTTCATATCCAATAAAGAAATGAGTGCTGATAGCGTAATGTTTGTTGGCTTAATCTAGGATGTTGGGTGATTCACAATGGCCCTTCCTTTTCCGACCAAGTTATTTGGTCACTTAGTGTACATTTTACCGTAGATGTTGTTAGCGTAGGTGTTCAAGATCTAACTATATTTGAATGGGTTTAAGTTATTGTATTGATGAATTATGTATATTATTTATAATAAAAGAAGTATTTCTATTAATTCTTATCATTTACATTTATTGATTAAATAAAATTAGATAAAAGTCCATATAATATGCATTTGCATTAGTAATTGATCAAAAAAAATGAGACAAACACTAATGCACATAAATGATATCATTAAATGTCCCAAGTCGTAATATTGTCAAGAATAAAATTGATTATATGACGTTAGATTTGTGAGTACTATGCTCATGTTTTACGATAGAAGTAGAAGATCTTACATCTATTAGCATGATGATATCAAAGCAACCACTTAGGTGATTCAAATTAGAGAACATATCATTGGACTTAACTCACCATGAGAACTCAAACTCATTTGGTTTAGTTTATGAGAATCTCATACAATATGGGTACAACTAGTCCTTTGACTTGAAACCATCATGGTTATCTCACTATAGGATTTATGCATTTTGACACTCGTTTCGATGAACCTAGTAAAGGATTGTGTGTGAGTGATTCGTTGGATACACTAGGAATCTAATGGAGGTAGGTGAATGACTAAGATAGAACATGTCATTTCTTGTATGCTAAAGGAGTTATCACATTGCACTTCAATGATGAATGTCTACTCAAGAAATTTATAACCATAGTAGAAGTATACCAATAGAGCATGGTTGGTTTACTCTAGGAGCTAAGACATTTGGTAATCGAAGAAAACTTATATGATTAAAATCAAACAAGACTTATAACCATGTTCGAGATCACACTATAATAAGTTGACATGAGAACTGAATTGTATGATAATTATGCTCGTGAAAAATAATAACGGATTAATTAATCCTCTTAGAGAATTTGGTAGTTATGATGTCTTGTTAAAGGTCAATCTTAACTTATGTATCAAAAGGTAAAAGAGATGTCTTTTATTTCTTGATACATTATCAACATATCTAGGAGCCTATTGAGTCACACGTATATGTTTAAGCATTCACATGATTAAAAAGAAGCAAAGATATTAGAAAAAGTTTTCAATTTTAAAAGTTTTTTAAAATGAAAAGTTTCCTATTTTAGAAATCGGTTTCCTAATTTGAAAATTAGTTCTAAATTTGAAAGTAAATAACTTAAAATAGAAATGATTTTTCTAATTTAGATTTAATGGTATTTTAAAAAAATATTTTCTAATGTGAGCCATTTAAAATTATCTAATTTAATTTATTTGGATAGTCCAAATTAATTAATTAGGCCAATAATTTTAATTAAAAGCCTAAAAGATAATTTGGTAAGATGATAAACATGAACCTTATTGGATAAAAATAAATATTTTATAGATAAAGATCAAAAGCCCATTTATTAAATAACTCCTAATTCTTGGAGGATTAAAAACAACAACCAAGAGTCCAATTAGGATTAAGTTGCCGCCTCTCTCCTTGCCCTTGGAGGACAAGGACAAGGAAACTCTCCCCCTATAAATGGGAGGAGAGATGCTGCAACAAAGAGAGCTTTTTAGGAGAGAGATAATTTGACAAAAACAAAAGAGAACTAGGGCACACGGCTAAGAAAAATAATAAGGAGAAAATTGTTTTCTCCCTAACTCTAACATGCCACCTTCTCTCTCTTTTTGGGTTATTGCAAAATTACCCGAATTAGATTTCTATAGAAAACACTTAACAAATCAAAAAAGGTGGATCTAACACTATATCAATTTTGAGTTCTTTTTTGTGGTTGCTTGACTCGCGTCGATAATAAATAGAGGCCGGATGCTAGGATGACTCCTTTCTCTCGTTAAAGAATTTAGATTCGCACTACAAAAAATAATTCTCTATTCATCGCTTTAAATCATGAATAAATTGTTATTTAATTTAACGATATGATCTTAGACCTTTTAGATAGAGAAAATTTTTTATTTTATTCCGCACCTCTATAGGATGTATGATTCTACACATGTAGTCACAAAAGAGAATAAGACTAGAGGTTGTCCATAGTTTTAAATAATAGCTATTATATTATATTACTATATAACTAAAGTAAAACGACAATTTGAACAATAATGAATAGTGATAAACACTCGTTCATTACTCGTTCATTAGTTTTTTTTTTTTAATTTTCAAATTATTTCATTTTGATCCTTAAAAATTTTAAATAAATATTTTAATCCTTAACTCATACACTACACATGCCTTTTCTTCTTCTTCTTCTTTCGTTTTTTTCCTTTTCTTTTTTCCATCAATTTATATTCTTTTTTATTTAATCGGGCATTAAAATTTTAAAAAATTAATTTTTTCTTTTTTTTATAGTATTTTTTGTAATTTTTTTTAATAAAAAAAACACTATCACTATTCATTAACCTTGAGTGTCCCATTTTTTTATAGATTTTTTTGTTAATTATTTTTATTATTTAAAATTTATTTTTGTTTTTTATATATTTTTATAGATTCACATCAAAAAACAGATTATCAAAGTGAAATGATTTTTTTAAACGATTTTATATATTTTATTCAAACCGTGACATAACGCGAGCAAAAATACTAGTAACAACTATTATATAACAATTTCAAACACATCCATTTGTTATAAAATTTATAACGACTATCATATAAAAATTTCAAATACATCTATATCATTAGTCATTGTTACAAAATTTATATCATCTATAACAATTTCAAACATATTCATTTGTTATAAAATTTATAGCATCATTTCACATGAATAACAACAAATAACAATATTACCATTAAATAACGCTCATTATGTTAAGTAAAAAACATTTTTATATAACAATTTCAAACATTTCTACTACCACCATATAACAATTTTAAACATAAACATTTTTGTTACTATTATTTGCAATGTAAAAAACATTTTTATATAACAATTTCAAACATCTCAGATATCATTATTTGCTAATATAAAATCTAATAAATAACGTCACCGCCATGTAATCACCATTATATCATGTTATTATTTACTGTTATATAACATTTTATTTATTTCAAAAGTTTAATCTACTACACTCTTAGATATTATCCAATTAAAATCTTACATTCTAAAATTATAATGCATTTTATTATTATTAATTAGTATTACTTTTTTTTAGATGTCAAGCTATTGGAAGTATTATTAACTCTTTTTTTTTTAATAAATTCATATGATATTAAACTATTAAAAATTAATTAATAAAAATGTTAAAATATGTGACAACAAATTTATTAGATGCTGCAAATGCTTTTGCAACATCAGTTACTGTCATCATTATTTTACCGCCACAATTTTTTTTACAACTATATCTGCTATATTTAAAACTATTGAGTGGTGGGGCTACCTATAGACTAGTGAAAGTAGTGATGAAGCCCAGCCGCGGCATACATGGACAAATCAATGCATTAAACCAAACTTACATAATCAGGCATATAATAGTAAAATGAGCCAACTACGCCTTATCTTCAACTTTCCACATGGTTGTTGTCTAAAACGGAAGGCCTCTATAAAGTATTGGCGTTGGCACAGTTTTTGGCAGGAAGGTGCAGCCACAAACATGATATTATCATGCAGACACAAGTCCGCCCAAGGATTTTAACTGATGCTCAAAACCAGCCATAAAAATGTCACCCAATTACATCATTCCGAGCCAATGACACACAATGACAAAGCTGATGGCATTTTATCCCAATGAACCGAGTTGTGCAAATATGGGCATTTATTTTGAAGCATATGGAAAACTGTAACGGCTAAAACTTAGCAACTATATTATTCTTAAATGCTGTACAACACATCATGGTACAATACATTCTGCTTACAAGGCTGTTAAATTGGTATGGTGTGGAATGGAGGTATCGTCTAATTGACCCATTCTGGTCCACGAGAAGACAGTACTTCATTCCAGGAAGAGCAACTGCCTAAAACATATCGCTTTCCTCACTGCATTGAGGTTAAAGTAGCAAAGTCAGTATGCTTGTTAAGACCATTCATATGCTCAGAAACAGGGTGTCGTTGCATGATGTTCAGTTTTGCAAAGCATTAATAGTAAGTCCTAGTTATTCATGGTAAAAATATCACACCATTTATAAGAATTATGAATAACCAGTCACAACATGTAGCCATTTTGCAGAAACAAAAGACACTTCATCTACCATTTGATGACAAATGTCTCTTCAAATGCCAAGGAATCAATTATGGAGTCACTTTCACGCACCAATCAAATGTTCATTCATGCATTATCCATCAAACCTATAATGCAGCTAACTTACCTGTTCTGGATTCAAAGGAGCTCAAACATCATAGGCGCTCAAAGCAGCAACAACTGATCCTGTTGTTGCCAAAGTCGATGCGACATCTGGATAATCTTTCCAAGATGTCATAATCTTGAGAGAAGGATACAACCAACTCCTAACGGATTCTGCAAAGGAGTTAGGATCAAAATTTAGAATGGCTTCCCAGTCCACCTGTATACCCCTTGGGATTTTCCCTGTGAACTCCATATTTGCAGCGAGAAGTAATCCAAGCAAAACGGTAAACCCAACAGCAGCAGAACCTCTAGACAATGGCATAAAATTGTACCTAAAAAGCATTCCAGATCATTACACAACCTTAAGTTATCCAAATTCCATATACAGATCAACTATTTCAACACAATTAACATAATGTATCATACCAGTAATATGTCATCCTTAAAATTGCATCTCTAACATTTTCAAGGACATCAAAATCTGTTGACCCATAAGTTTCACCACAGTATGCATTGCACACAGCCTGCAAATCCAAAACCAGAAATGTATCATACCCATAAGTTTCAAGGACATCTCTACTCCCTTTTTTACAGTTAGCATATCTTCTGTTGTTATTTGAGATCAATTGAAAGTAGCAAAGCTCAGCTAGAAAATCAGAAACGATGCACTGAAGAACCATTTTGGAAAAATGCCGCTATATGAGCAAATCAGAACAGACATTTTTTTTAATAGAAAAATGAAAACATGATAAGTAAACATGCCAACTGTATTGGTCTACTATTTTGAGACTTGGTTGACTTACTTCCCATGCCATTGCCATTTCTGCATCAAATTCGTCCCATCTAGAAGGCATACAAGGTGTTCTGATAGCAAAGTCAAATCCACCTTCGCCCCTGAAAGAATCATTTAATATTTCCACAACGGAAAAAAAAATAAATAAAGAATTAGAACATGTATAATCAAAATTAAAGAAGAAAGAAACAATGAGAAATAATAAAAAAAAAGGTTATTTACATCTTCACTAGAGTAATCCTTGTGCCCTCAAGTTGCTTCCTGAGATGATTATGAACACCCAAAGATAATGTCAATGAAAGAAACTTTATATGCTAACTACATTGCACTTTGAATTAAGAAGATAATCACCCTTCAAATGCTGTGCTGTTGCACCATGTAGCCAACCAGTAGTCCTCACCAACTACCTTGTATAGATCAGAACAGTTTTTTGCATCTATAATCTGCACATGGCATTCTCAACATTAGCCTTGTGCATAAATCACTCTTTTTTCTTAACCAATACCCACCATCTTCAATTGAGAGAATATTTGATCAACCAGAATGCCTTATCCAAAAGTAATAATGCCAAATATTAATAAATTATGGACATCATTCATTGCATAGACTTTCAAACAATACTGTCATTCGGAAAAAAAAAAAAAAAGACTTTCAAAAAGTACCAATCAAGCATGAGCCAATCAAAATGCCTTATCCAAAAGTAATAATGCCAAATATTAATAAATTATGGATGTCATTCATTTCATAGACTTTCAAACAATACTGTCATTCAAAAAAAAAAAAAAAAAAAAAGAGGACTTTCAAACAGTACCAATCAAGTATGAGCCAATCAAAATGCTGAAACAAGCACACCATAACACCTGAATTGTTGTCTATCAGGAACTGGTCAACTTACTTCCCATGATTTGCATTACAAAAAAAATTATAAAAACACACACTCGTCTTTTGAGCATCATAAAAAGAAAATGGAGGGAGATCATATATGGAAATAGTGTTGAAATGCTCACAGCTTGGATTTTTTCTTTAGGCAAGTCAATGATGTTGTCTGACTTGTTGTGCACAAAAAGTTTATCCTTCATGATTGTTTTTGCAACATCAAATGTTCTGCAGTGTCAACCACTAGTGAGCATTTGTAGAGACAATATTGATCTAAAAGAAACATAATTAGGTATCACCTTTCATAATTTTGGTAGTAGCGAACAACTTTAGCTTGTCCAAGAATCATTGGTGTGTGAGACCCAAATCCAGAATTGAACTCCTCACTGAATTGAAAAGATACAGAACAAACACAAAACAATGGAAGAAAGGAAGAACATATTAAACCAATCATCTGAAACTTCCAAAACATAACAAAAGTCATAAGTTTTTTCCTGAATTGGTTGGATTCAGCATCACATGAAAAACTATAGCAACTCAACAAAGGAGAGATTTACTAATTTATGATGTGGAGATGATTAGAAGCCGATACAGCTCGTTTTGATGAGAACCCACGAGTATTCACAACATAAGAGACGGTAAAGGAGTTTTCTTGATTTGAAGCACTATTGCTTTAGCTTAAGATTAATGATTGATGTGAGAAATAAAAATGATGGTGATGTTTTATATTAAATTAAAAAAAAACCCAAAAAATAATTAAAACCATAGTTTCTATTTTAAACAAAGGGGAAATGCATTGACAATCACCTATATGGTAAATAGCAAATAGCATTGTTGCATAATGCATGACAATCGATTTGGTTGACAAAGAGGTCATACCTCAGCTTGTTAACCCAAACAACGGGGTCACAAGGTTCAGATATCTGCCTCCATTTGACAGCTATCGAGTAAACATCTTGCCATGACATCATAGAACGGCCAAATGATTTATCTTCAAGAATGCCATATGAAGTTGTCGTTTCAGACGAACTACTGGTACTACAACCTGCCCCACCTCTATTCTGGCTAAGCATGTTGATCCTTCTCCGGGTACGTTTACCATATTTAGATGTGCTTTTATTAGAATGCTTCCATTCAGTTTGTAAAGAACGCCATGCTTTTGCAACCTTTTGTGCAATTTCAATAATGGCTAATCCTGCCATACGATGCTGACATGCAACAAAAAATGAATCACTCAAATTCTATGACAATTGACAGAAAATAAAAATAAATCCACTTGAAAAAGAGAATTAAAAAAATTGTTTGTAAATTCCCAATAAGATTATTAGTAGGCCTCTTCAGAGAGGTAAGAAATTCTCTAGAAATGACTAGATCACTTAATATAGTGTAAATACCAAAAATCTTGATAATGCTTCTTCCCCTTTAGTTTGAACTGACAAGGCTAAGAAAGATTGTTTTGACACGTTACTTACATATGGAGACAATTTTAACTGACACAGCTTGGAGGAAACTCTGCTACACCAGTAGTAGTAGTAGAACAAGAGTACTTAAGTGCTGTTCGGTTTTCATTCTGGTTATCAAGAATGAAACTTCTAGAATAGGAATGCAAGAATCGAAATAAAAATTAGAAAATCAAAATGAGATATGCATTTCCATACTGTGTTTGAAATAGTAATAAAGAATAAGAATGAAGTTTAAATTTTAAAATATCAAGTTTTTAATATAAATAAAAATAATAATTAGAAAAATAATTTCATCAATTATGATAGTAGTAAAAATGATAAAAGTGATTGTAGTGGTGGTGGTAGTGGAGCAAGAAGAGGATGATGGGGTGGTAATAGTAATAACAACATAGAAATAGCAATAATGTATTTTAAAAAAAAAATTGATATCATCACCGTAGCAGGTGGCAGTGAAAGAAGAATGGTGGTGATTGTGATGGTGATGGAGGAGAAATGATGACTAAATAATAATAATTATTATTATTATTTTGTCGCCATTGTCAATGGTAGTACTGGTATAATAATAAAAGTAATGGGAGTAGATGATGAAGAGTAGTAGCAAAATAATAATAATAATTATTATTATTATCATCATCATCATCATCATTATTATTATTTAATTTTCACTCCTACTTCATTCATTTTAACCAAACACCTACAAAGTAAAAATAAAACTTTCATTTTCATTTTCACCACTCCATTTCCGATAAACAAACAACACCTTAATGCTCACATTAGTAAAATCTCAAATAAAATTGTAATTATTCAAAGTCCTAAATCCATTTCAAATGGTCTATATTTCAGCCAATGAGTCGATTTTTGGGCTTACATGTGTCCCTTGTTGAATAAGAACATTTAAGAATTAAATGACATTGACTGTTTAAATGCCAAAACAAAGTGCATTCTATCAATTTTGCATTCCAACCTAAGACTTGGAATAAGGATTTTCAAGCTCCATATTGTATGATGAAAAACAAAAAGCACACAGAAAAAAATAAAATAAAAAAAGCTAGAGAAGAACACACTTCAGTGTTTCTTTAATCTTCAATTTGAACCAAAGAGAAGAAAATAAAACATTACAGAATTCAGAAGCATTACAAAAACTACAAATGTTATCAGAGGGCAAACGAAGAAACCATAGAAATAATATTAAAAAAACAAGATTAATTGCAAAGTTGTGCTCAAAATCAGTTACCTGTCGTCTATTGGGTAAGAAGCCATAACAATCATATTGAATCTTCTGGCCAATTGAATCAGCAGCAACAAAAAGAGCAGCCTTCTGCTTTGTAGAGGCAAAATCTTGTTTTCTAAGTTTACCCCTTTTCAGAGAATCACGCAGAGGAGGTTGTCTATAAACCTTTTCGCACACATTCTTGGGGTGCAATCTTTTGCACCAGTACTCCTGAAAATTCCATAATGGCATAACTCAACATGAATCTGGGAATGAAAAAAAAAAGGCCTTAAAGAAAGTTACTTTAACTATAAAGCACTTTGCCTGATCATAATTGTCCAAGGGAAATGAGTTGGCACTTAAAGACAGAACATGAAAGCATTCTCAAGCATTTTAATGTAAACAAGTCAGCGAATATTTGAATAAATTGCACTGCAGAAGCGTTTTGCTATTTCTTCCCAACTATTATCAAGGCTGTTGAAACTCATACCAAAGAGCTTTTCCAATCAAGTTAAGGACTATAATAAGTTGATGGATGAATTGTTAATGACATATAACATAAGATTATATCTGAAAGTAAAGTCTATGATGCCATGGTGAGCTCTCCAAACAAAATGTTTATGGAGCTCACAAGCACGCACTAAAAAAAAACAAAAAAAAAAAAAAGGAAAGGAAAAAAAGAAAAAATAAACACCCTAAAATTAAGACACGAGATGTAAAGCAGTAATAACAATGAATACAAGTTTGTGGAACAAGTAAATTTATCATCAACTATCACCTTAAACAGAGGATCAATATCTCCATCAATGTCAAACCAGCAGAACTCACTATTTATTTTCGAAGCTGTGTACAAAGCAATCTCTTTCTGCAAAATAAAAGAGTTAAACTTAGAACCCTCTTTGTTCAAAAATTAGGTCTGCTATACACCTCCTTAGGGTTTAAATAGGATAACTATGCAATTGTTTTTTTCTATATTAAGGGGCTGTCTCCAATGCCTCAATAAAAGCAAAGGCATAGCAAATTTGTAATAAATCATGTCCCTCCGAATTACATATGGATTGACCGCATTATGATCAGTTGAAACATACAAACGATGCTTAAAACATTAAGCTTTCAGTTAAAATAAAGAAGGAAATTTGTGTTACATAAAATGTTGGTGTAGTTACGATAATGTTTTAAAATTCATAGCAAACAAGACAAGTAATATGCTGCTATGCCAAACTGTATTCTCCATATTCAACTCGCAAGAAAAACAATTGTATCATAAAAAAAAAAAAGGAAGTAAAAATGCCTATTCAATAAGATGACCTGGTAATTCAAATCTTATGCAGAGGCAAAGTCCAAAGAAGTTAGAAAACTTAAAAAGTTGGTATTACATATAGGGGGTGCTAACTTGCCCGCCCTTTGTGCCTATTTTACTTGGAACCCTTAGATTTAGAAGGTTTTATGGGTAAATATGTCAAACTACAAAAAAACCTACAATTAACTTATTCTCTTTTCACATCTTTTCTCCCTTCGCTGCAGTTTTTGAACTAACCAAACAAACAAAAAGGCCCTTTCATGATCAATTTATAAGAGATGAATGAATTTACTTACCACTTCAATTTTTAAATCAACCAATAGGAACCCACATGCCAATCTTTACGCAATTAAATATCAATGGTTGTTGCTCAAGGGCCCCCCACCCCCCCAAAAAAAAGGAAGAACTTTAAAAATTGCAGAAACTAAGTACAAGGTTGAACTTTTTTCTTCTGAAAGTCAAGTATGAACCTTTTCCCATCTTCTAGTATGACAAACTTTAAATGCATTAGATAATAAATATTATCTAATCATCATATTGTGTGCAAACTCCTTGGCCCAATCAGAGAGCAATTATAAAAAATATTTCTTCCATATCAAAGCAAGAGATTTCTGTAATAAAAGTCAATATGGATTTCTTCAGATTTTTCGAACGTGAGAAATTTTTGTTCAGCAATCAAAGAATAGAAAACAAGAGCTAAGGAGAGAGAACCATGCTTTGATGGGAGAGAGTTGAAGGGTTTTCCTAATTTTCAATGATTTGGCATTTAGAAGATTGAAAACTTCTATATATTTAAGGGTAATTTAAGTTCAATAAAAGTGGCTAAAGGCCAACTTGCTCAAGGATTTGTGCTAGTTAGCAACCCCCATATAAATATTTAGTGTAAAAGGTGGTTATGGCTACTGGTTACATGCTTGAATACCTGGAATGAATTATATGTTCAGAAGAAGAGCACTACAGCACGCATGTCTAACAAGTAATAAACTACACTATTACATTTCAAACCCTACCTGATAGAAGGCCAAGCATTGGAGCACAAACTTCTCCATTGAGTCTAGTTCCAAATCAAGAGTAGCATCATAATCCTTCACCTGTTACCATCAAATAAATGTTATGAAAACTGATGGGAAAATGGTTGTAGAGATTTAACATGTCATTGAGACTGATCAAAAATTCCAGTCAATTCCCATGTATAGATGGGGAGCACAAAAAATAAAAGGGGTCTGTAATAAGAGAATATTACTTATAAGCAAATATAAAGAAATTAAATGCTCGTTTTCTTTTAGTAGCTTCACATATCTTCATTTTAGTAGTTCAGATGTCTCCTGGCATTCTAACTCAATCAAATATAAATTGAAACAAAAGTTCAAAAAGTAAAACTACAAATATATAATTCTTCATATAACAAATTTGTCCACAAAGAAAGATGATTTATATAAGAACATATTCACAATTTATAATGGATTGGATAAAGTGTTCCAAAAGAAAAATGTATGTGAATCGATACCGTTTGATTATATTTAAAATAATGTCCTAAAAAATATAAAGAAAAAAATATAAAAGTTACAAATTTAAACATAATCCACAAATTGAACTTGATTGGTTGTATAAAATAAGAATAAATAAATAATCTATTCAAGAACCTGTAACCTAAGGGGGTCAACTCTGTGATGGAAAATGAGAACAAATGGAAGAAAAAACAAAAACTCATTACCGCCTCTCCATATTCTCCAATAGCATGATGGCACGATGCTCGTAAATATAAGCACTCTATATTTGAATTTTCAATGCTCAGACCAATCGATAAATCCTTGATGGCTTTCCTGCAACAATCAGCAGTCAATTTATCTGCTTAGTGAGAAAACGACAACGCTGATGATGAAACAACTCCACATGCACATGCATTCTACAGTCAATGTTGTTCAGTGCAGGAACTACCATGTGAAAGATTATCTAAATTTCATTTGTGCATTCTTGTGGGAGATTGGCCAAGTTCTTGCATCTAAACTCTAGAAAGTTGGTAAAAACTGTAATTGGCAATTTGTATTCACTTTTTTCTTTTTTTTCTTTTTTCTTCTCTCCTTCAAACAAAAAGGTGAGAAGAAAAGAAATCGATATTACTTATATACAAATGGTGAAGTGCTAGAGAACAAAATCATTCTAGCACCTATTTGTTGTAGGACTTCTGTTCATTGTTTTTTTTTTTTTTTTTATCCTTTCTAGAATGCTGGAATATTACACTACAAGGAGCAATTCCTTTCTTAATTCACTTTATCTCCATTCTTATGTAGCTTCCATTCTTTCCCTTATCCATCTAATGTTCTTTCTCTAGTCCTTAACAGAGATCTAGCATGACAGTCTTTTCTCTTTCTTTCTTCATCAATGAAGTTCATTCATGTCCAAGAACTACATTCTTTCATAGCAATTATTGTTCTATACCGTATAAACTAAACAGAAATTATCAATTGTAATATTTAGAAGTCCGCAAAGTAAACTGTTCATATTCAAAAGCACTAGTTGCATAAAACAGGGCCTTCCGAGGACTCTGCATTTTGTTGCACTATACAGCTTGTAAGTTTCTTCAAATTCTATTATTCCAATGCTTTTGGTCTAATTCTAGACAGTCAAGAAAGCTAAAAGGTTATGAAGAATTGATAGCTTTTGTGTGTTAAGGTTAGAGAAGCAAAAGGGAGAAACAGAGTATAGAATGTATGAAAAGAACACAATGAAGCAATGTCAAAGTATGCCATTAAGGCTTGGCAAATGATTACCGCAATCCAAAACCCAACTCTTAGTGTCACATCGCCATTTTAGAACACTAAAGGAAGCTCCGTAAATGTTCATACAAAAATCATGCTAAAAATAAGGGGCCATCAACATAAAGTTGATCACAAGTAGCGCAATTCAACAGATATAACTAGAAAAGAAAGGCTAAAAACAGTTAACATGGCATCACAAATAGTTGCTTGGTGTTGTAAGATTTGAGTTCTCTTTGGAATGCTTATTGCTGACAAACATGAAGATGTTGCACTTTAGAATAAGCAGCACTCAGACAAGATATACAAAATGGATGTTCTTCAAGAATAAAAAAAAAACAAAAATGATTGGAAATGCTTTGTCGTACACTTATTTTGTCGTTACTGGGCATCAAAATTACGGATCCACATGTTAAATAGGAATGATGAGGCAGTTAAATAACCATATCAGAAGAAGAGAGAAGCAAAACTAAATGTATCAGTAGCGGTGTAGTTGGATGACAAATTTATTATTAGATCATCACCCTGGAAGCTAGGACAGAAGACCAAGTTGTTAGTAGACTAAACAATAATTAATGTCAACTAGCTAACTCTAGCATCATGTTAAAAAAATCCACACAGAACCGTGAACGACCCTCTCATTTTGTTATTAGATAGTAAATTATTCTTCCCAATTCCTCATACCATCGTCAATGGACTGATCCCAAAGATAACGAAAGTCAATTGTGAGAAGCACTTCTCAATGAAACAAAAACTCAAATCATTCATAGAGCATCAATTATTTGGCATAAAATACCTGTGTTCACCCATTCCATGAAGCAGCAGCCCACGGAAATGATATGCTTTTGCAAACCTATTAAAAGCAGTAACAGTAACAATCATAATTCAGAAAAGCATATAAAGGGATCGGAAGCATATTCATCCGGAAGAGGAACAGGATGGTACAGAGGTAACAGTACCTTGAGTCAATTTGGAGAATTTGATTGATGCAATCCAAAGCTTTTGTTGAGTTCGCCAAATCTTGATAGAACTGCCAACAAAACAATTTGAAACACAAACACGTACAGAACTGCTTCCCAAAAAAACTAGCAATGCAGTTTATTTATTTATTTTCATCTTTATAATTTTAACAATCAGTAAAAAGCTGGGAGCTTCCTGGTGCAGCATAGTTCTATCGTGCTCTTGAAGACTTAATCACAACTATTTCCAACTACCAGTAAGAATAGAATGAATGAACTTTAAATAAAGCAATTTAAATCCCTAACATTGCAGATTAAATTTTAATCCTTGTGCTTTTAAAACCAACACCATATTCCCCATAAAGCATAACTAACAAGGAATGAAGGTACAAAGCCACTAAAGCCTTACCTAGTTAAAAAAATGTCAAGACGCTATTTTGTTAGCTTTAGAAACACAGGAACAAATGTTCAACAATATCCAAGGTCATCAAAATCACATTTTGGATCGTACCATCTAAGCTTTTATGTTTCAAATTGACCTGACAATTTAACTCATCTAGAAAATCGTGCTAGAACGAGATTAGACTGAGATCGGTAATTGAAACATCAAACTCATTAAAATCACGAGTTTACCAGCGTTTTTAATGAGTTCAAATTTGGAATGAATTAGGAGTTTCAATATGATGGCAAAACTAACCGCTTCTCTCATGTCTTCCTTCTTTTGCTATTATTTACTGAATTTATAGTTGTCATTTGCACTTTTTCTTTACCTCCTCTCTTCTCTCACTCATCCCATTTGCATTTTCTGCGTTTTAATGAAGTTTGATCACTATCTTCAATCATTCTCTAACTAATTTCTTCTGACTTGTGTCATTAGGAGTTTTTATAAGTGGCTTAATGTTAAGGAATGTTTGAATTTAGTAGTTTCAATATTTCACAAGAACAGATCAAAAGTGTGGACATAAAAATCAAAGATGGGGATGGGGTGAAGGTAGGATAGTGTAGCGCATTTTAACTTAATCTAGATATATTTACAGTTTTAAAACATAATTTTAATATATATAAATACAATTTTTCAAACCCTTCATCAATCCTAGTAAAAAAAAGAAGTGATTTTAACAACCTTGAGTGCACCAAATTCTCAGAGACTTGAATTAATTAAACTAAAAATGTTTGTCTTTAGAGTGGTTCATTAAGATTTAAAAGCCTAGGAAAGCCACAAAGAATAAGAAGCTGAAACCCATTTGTATACAGATGTTGAGCAAGTATGGTACAAAATAAATTTACCATTAAGACATGAAGTATGTTTTCCAAACTTGTCTATTGCCTTGAGGAAGCAAGAAGCAGATATTCAAAAATAAATAAATAAATAATAAAAATACGAAAACAAATAAACAAAACAAAAGGAATCATCACCTCAAAGACCAATAGCACAATCCAAGGACATGGTTGAACCTTTTGTGTGTGCACGTGTGAAATTGAAAATAAACTAGTGACTCTATCATCAACTGCTTATTTTCCATTCCCAAATCCCTTACATTTTCTTTTTATACTCATTCATTGCATCCTACCTTGCTACCTCACTAAAGCCTCCATCAAACACCAAAAGTTCCAAACCTGCAACACATATTTCCAATATTTTGGTAACTTGAGTCTCTCCATCCTGTGTCTTTCTCTCATCTCCGCATCCATACAAATCTAATTTGTTGTTTTCCTCCACTCTATTTTGTTCACACAACCACTAACCACCTATGCATCATCGAAACGACTCTTAATCTTGTGCGTTCTACAAAATCTTCTGTTATGCTGTATCAATTAAAAGAAAATCCATTTTAACATAAATAATTTTATGTGAATGGAAAATGTATAGATTCAGAATATTGGAATCGTGCTCTGTATGAGCCTGCCAATTGCAAAGAGACTCTCATTGGCACAATTCTGTGATGGAATAGTTTTATTGCCAATTGATGCTAGCAAGCATTGACATCAGAAATACAAACAAAACCATCATAACAGTCCTCAGTTAAGAATCAACTGAACTGTGCCCCTCAGATAAAAGATTCTCATAGATACCTGGGTTAGATGAGCCCATGCCTCAAGAAAATTGCGATCAATTTGGATTGACTTTAAATGTGCCTCCTCTGCCTTTTTATATTCTCCAACTGAAGATAATGCCAAACCCTATTAAAGTCAAACATCCAGTCAGTGCATGACCATCAATAGAATCTATCATATAAGAAACTCAAGTGTTGAATCAGCATAGTTTCAAATGGTCGGTACTGACTAAATATGTGTAGGCAGACATGTTATCCATATCAAGCTTCACACATGCAGATAGGTCTTCAACAGCAGCATCAAAATCCTTAAACTTGTAATTAACAATTCCTGCATTATTAGCAATATTGTTTCATTGCTTGCGTACCAAAAACCAGTCACTGCAATACATCAGTGAAAAAGAGAGAAAGAGAGAGAGAGAGAGAGAGACATTTGTTACGATATCAAGAATCATGTTGATTAGAGGTTTGAGTTCACAACTTATATCAGAAAAGTCTGCCAATGTTCCACTTGTGATATCAAGATGTTAACAGTGAATTATATTATGATTTAACAACAAAGACCACTGCTTTTGATCCTGAAAAATTACAGGAGAGTGCAGATAACACTCACTATCGATCCTTCCAATACAATCGACACATCAAGTAATTTATCACATGACCTGCTACAATTAGTCATAAGTAGAAGTGAAAGGAGTAGCATTTGTTACATTGATTGAGAAGATTACAGAAACATTATAATAAAATAAGATCTAGATTCAAGAAGTTACCCCTTTCATGCAAAATATCTGCAGAGTTTGGCTCAAACTCCAATGCCTTAGTCAAGTCGTTAATGGCCTGGTATTAACAGCCAATATCAGTATGTCACAAGAATGATTTGATAAGAGCTTATCACAAGCGACTAGAGAATGCAATCATTAGGAACAATTTAGTAATAACTAATAACTAGCACTAACAATTAAGGTTCTATGTTGATAAATAGGAAACATAGAACAACGTTTTGGATCCACTTTCCAGTCTATTTGATGTCTTTTTTTCACACCATAAGTATAAAATGTTGCTCCAAGTGAAATATAAAAGTTTCTGTGCAGGGGAGTGGAAGAAAGCAGCTTAACTTTAAAGGAAAGTGAATAATTTTATGGGAAGCTTAATAAGCTCGTTTCCATTGTCATTTAAAAACCGAAAACAAAGATTAGAAAATATGGACAAGGGAAATAAAGATAAACTCTTTCATACCTTAAAAGATTCAGAGATTTTTTTTTTTTTTTCCTGACAGAAAATTTATAAGAAGATTAAACTGATCTCACTGACCTCTGCAGATTCCCCTAAGGCAGCTCGAGCCTGCCCTCTCCGCTTCCATGCCTCACCAGCTGATGGGTTTGATTCTATAGCCTAAGTCATAAATCATATAGCCAGTTACAAAAAGGAGGTGGAATTTTCTCATATGCCTGCTGAGCACTGAAGTTGATACCTTTGAAAAATCAGCAATAGCAGATTCTAGTTCTCTTTTGAATGCACGTGCTGTCCCTCTTCCTATAAGTGCCTCAGGATAAGTGGGATCCTCTTTCAGTATCTGAGTAAAAAATGTACCAAAAAATGACAAAAAGTTCATACTAATTTTATAAATGGCCCCAGAATAAGAGTATTAGTTCCAATCATTCCCACCAACCTCCTTATTAAAAGAGAAAAAGAGACCATGAAGATAAATTCCACATGACAGAAAATCATGAAATTGATGCATGCACCTATGCCAAAACAAATTACCTGGTCAAAAATAGATATGGCAGTAGCATATTTTCCTTCATTAACCTGCAAGGGGGTAGATTACAGCTTTTAAACAAGATAAAAGAATCAAAATATCAAGAGCATGATGTAAGCCTCAATTGTTCTTAATAGGAAAATAAGAAGTAAAGGTAATGCATACCTGCGCTATACCCCTTGACAGTCGAAAATCTATACTTATGGACTTGCTCTTGGAAATCCTAGTAACACACAACTTTTTATTTCTTTTGGTTTCATCGGGAACTTCATTATGCACGCTCGCTTTATTACTTGACTTGCTGAGAATTTCACTTGTATCTCCTAAGTTGCCAGGTATCATAGATAATCTACTGGACAGTTCAAATGCATTGCTTATGCCACTACAAGATTCAGACACTTGATTTGGTGAATCAAGAATATCATGACTTCCATTCGTTAGGATACCAGGCTTTTCATTTCTTCCAGCTTTATCACTTAGCCCATTATGCATGTCAAACTTATCCCCAGATTTACTGCAGACCTCAGGTGCATTTCTTGGTTCACCGAATAACTCAGAGTTATCACTCACTTTACTGGAATTTGTACTGGTTTCACTAGAGTTTTCATTGGTATGAGATCCTGATTCAGGAACTTTATTACTTATCCCCTTTTGTATCTCAAAATTATCTCCAGACTTGCTACAGATGTCCGGTACATTCCTTGGCTCACTGCATAAATTAGAGATGTCACTCAATTTATTTTGGTTCTTAGAAGTTTCACTTGATTTGCTATGAGGTCAAGATTCAGATACATACATAGAAAATCTAGATTCATCGACATGGGTTTCACAACCAGCACTCCTGTCTTGTTTTGCAAACTTCAGGAGCTCCTTCAGTTCTAGCAACTGTTTTAGATCTGCAGATTGACGCAGAGCATGTTCGTAGCCTTGTTCCCACACCAAAAGAGCATCCTCTTTCCTTCCTAAAGATGAAAATGCACGACCTAGATAACAATGAGCAAGAGGCTAGCATCAGAACAGAACACATGAGCCCAAAATGCATGATATTTCCTCAATTAAATTTGATAGTCACAAAACCAATTTATATTATTTACAATCGTTATTTTAAGAACATAAGGTAAGGCAATCAAATCTATTCTTTCATGGATCAGAAGTTACACACTTACACCAAACAACTTGTTAGACAAGGATGAGATCATGAAATTATAATTTCCTTGCTCAAACAGGCAAGGCAAGGTAAGTTATTAACTTCTGATCATTTTACGTTTCTGAAAGAGAAGCAGGAGCATGTAGGAAGAAAAAGGGAGTCTACGTTCTGCAATATAGTATTCTAAATGATATTCATACTCCTGAGTGTCATCAACTTTTCATTTTCTATCCAATAAATGCTGAGTATACACCAAATGTCTTCCACGATAATGAAACAATTGCCATTTTAGTGTTCAAGCTGAGAAATTGAGAAACTATTGCCGTTCCCATAGCCAACTAATTTTCATGAACCCACATTTTGATTTCACATAAAACTGCTAATGACATAATTTATTAGCAACTCCGCAGACCTAATGAATAAAGACAATAAAAAGCATTACCAATTTAGAGAAGTAGAGGTAGAGGTAGAGATAACATTTTAAATCAATTATCTGCATATCTAACAAGCAAGCAAAATACCAGTAATCAAAGTGTAAGACACTTGTTTTTACCTCCAAAGAAGATTACAAACGCAGAATCATGCTCATTTCACAAACTTAAAAGTCTTTTACAGCGATAGAAATCAATGATGCAAGCAGATTACTGGATTCCTTATTATAAAATTGATGAGAAGAAGAAGAAGAAGAAAGGCAATAACTCAGCAATCAGCATCACATTTTGTTACTTCAATAATCTCATCCAATCTAATATAAACAAGAGAAAGTAAATAAAGAATTAGAGCACCTTTGAGGATATAAGCTTGAAGAAGCGTAGGGTCTAACTGGAGCGCTCTATCACAGTCTTTAATCACATGCTTGTGTAGCTCTAATTGACTGTAACAAAACGCTCTATTGCTGTATCCAACAAACAAAAATCAAATTCACGTTTTCCAAATCGATCAGACTCGATAAAATAAATAAATTGAAGATCAATCAAATTGAACGGCGAACCAGATGTCTTGAATAGCGCAAGACTGAGCGAGGAGCGAGTCAAGAACTCGAATTGCTTTGGACCAGTCTCGAGAGCTACAAAGTTTAGCGAGCTCAACTCGCTCGGAGATCGCTGAGGCCATCAACAAAATCACTCGAACTGAGTTTGTGGATATAGTTTGCTTGTTTATTAGGGCGAAAACGGTTATTACGAGTGAAAAAAGAGGGAGAGGGGTAAAATGGGAAACAAGAAAAACAACAGTACAAAAAGGAAAGGGAGAGAGGAGTTAGAAACGAAATGAAAAGAAACGGGGAAACGTGGAGGAAGGATCGGTGGTGGTGGAGAAAACGAGCGTGATGTGGAGTACGTGGGATTTACACGCGTGGAAAATCGTTGCTTCAATCTGATTGTTCAGTTTCAGTTTGTTTTGTTTGACTGTTCACTCTTGATGGTTTTTCTTTTTTTTTTTTATCTCAACTTTTCCTGGTTATTGATCACCAGATATATATGATCCATTTTCGAGTGGTAGGAGCTTTTCGGCTGTGGCCTTTAGAATGCCTGGGAAGCGTTAATTATTTTTATTTTTATTTTTCTACGAGAAATATTTGTTGAGTCTTTCGGTTATATAATGAAAATATAGCTTTTTAAATTATATTATATAATAACTAAATAACTTAAAATTCTCATATTACTGTGAGAGGATCAGAATTTTTTAGGATGAATTTTTGATTTCTAGCAAAAAAAAACTCAAGAATTTTCCTTTTTAAAGCTTTTTTTGTTCACACATCAGATAATACATAAAATATTTTATATGTGAAACTTTGACTATTTATACGTTAATCACTTAATTTGTACGTTACTTGTATTATTTGTTTCTTCTTTAACATCTATTATTATTTATATCATTTTTGTTTAGTTGATTAGTGTTAATTAGCATATCAATCGGTCAGTCTAATCAATTTTTAAGAGCTCTCTCGGACAAGTTTTTTATTTAAAATGAAAAAAAAAAAAAAAAAGGAAGGTAGTTTATTTTATTATTAATGCAATATAGACCAGGCCACTCTGTTTACTCGATGACCTAGAACAAGCCAATTTACCTAGGCTCAACAGAAGGCTTTCACAGGGTCTTCCTAACCTGCAATTATTCCGACTAATGTAATACTTGCACCCTGGAGTAAAAGGCTGAATTTCACATGACACTAGCCTTTTCATTGTGTTTGATGAATTAAATTTGTATCATAAAAATGCATCAATTTCTACAATCAAATTACCATTTTTTTGCCATTTTTATGTGATATACAGTAAACTGTGGATAAGATGCTTCCTAGCAATGCAAGTAAAGTATTATCAACGATCCTTTGCCCAAGAAGGAGAAAGGAGGAGTATATCTAAAAGTTTGGTTAAACCCTTTAAAAGTGAGAAAAGAAAAGGTAAATCATGTGTGCTTAGGCGAGAGATCTAATTTAATATAGAATACTGTTTCTTTTAATTATTTCTTGATTGCATTATCAAAAACAATCTTCCTTGCTAATTTGCGACTCAAAAAACCACCCATTCAAAGCAACATGGAACATAATATTAATTTAGAATAATTAGAATATTCCTTCTTGAGGTTTTGGGAGAATCCAATTTTTTCTTTTTGAAGTTTCAATTGAATCGATGTTGTCCTTGTAGTTTTCATGATGAATCAAATGGCTACCCAAAGATCTGCATGGTAATTAACAATTATATAAAAAATAAAATATTTTACGAATTAAGGTGACTTTTCAAAACTAATAAGCTTCTCTAGTAGTAGTGAGCTTCTTATAAGATCAAACATTTAAATCCTTTTTTTTGAGTATTTGAATTTAAAAAATTCTTCATTACAAGAAAAAAACCAAAGCAACTTTCTTATTTTTTTCAATAGTGACCAATTCAACCTATTATTGTAACGAACACTGTTTGCTAACTACTAACACTAATGCTAATTTCGTAATTGTCTAATTACCGATGTAAGTTGTAGGATTAGAAAAATGACTTCTTAAAATAGATTACTTAAAAAAAATTATTTAATTGTTATGAATTAGTCCGTACAAGTCCATATTGTTTTAGTTTAAACTAGTTTTGTTTTTTTCTCTCTCGGCCTTAGCTAAATTAGTTTTGTGTTTCGCTCTCTATCGTTAGTAACCTTATAAAATTTATTTTAATATTTTAATTAATTTTGAAAATACGGATGAACAAAATCAAATTAAAGAGTTTTAATTATGAAATTTTTAATTTAATTTATATTATATAGTATTTAATTTCATGTGTGTTTTTATTTTTGAGTTTAAATATATTTTATGAATATGCTTGATTTTGATAAATGAATAAATCAAACATGCAATCAATTATTTATATCATCTAAAAATCTAGTTAAATGAATCAATAATTGAGTGAAGTCAAGAATTGACAATGAAAGGGTGCTCCAACAATTTATATTAGAAAGGTACCTAATTTTAATCAATGAATCCATAACTATTGATAGCAAAAACCCATTATTCTCTACATGGTGGTTAATTTTTTTTTATCTTATTTCGCATGAACTTAATGCTAAATATTTTTTTCTTAATATATATCAAAGAATCATAATCCATTTTGAAGCTCGTGGCTAACCTCAAACTTTTCCCTAATATTTTAGTTAATTTTGAAAATCTAGAACAAAATCAAAATAGAAAATATTAATTATGGAAATTTTTTAATTTAAATTTGTGTTTTATAGTATTTAGTATCATGTGTGCTTTTATTTTTTAGCTTAAATATATTTATGAATATGCTTTATTTTGATAAGTCGAAGAGAAAGCATTCAATCAATTACTTATATCACCTAAAAATTTAGTTATAAGAATCAATAATTGAAAGAAAGCAAGAAACGACAATGAAAGGGTAATACCCATATAACCCTTATAGGATAGGTTAAGTGGGGTGTTTAAATGAGGGGCAATAGGGTAATTGTAAAAAAAAAGGAGGAAAGAAAGAAACAAAAGGAGATGGTAGTATGGTTAAGTGGCGGAATTGAAGAACCAACAGCTAAGAAAAATAGGAAAGAAAAAGGAAAGAGAGGAGAAGGAAGGAGAGGAAGGAAAGAGACTCACCGGCGACCACCCACTCCGAGTGACGGCTCCGACGACGGCGATTGTGGAGTGATTCGAGTAAGAAGAAGAAAAATAAGGATAAAAAGAGGTGCGATAAGGAAGAAGGAAAAAGATTTATCAAGTTAGTTTTTGATTTTTTTTTTGAATGTTTTAGTTAATTATAACCTTAATTAGGATGGGTTATAGGTAATTTAGTGAATTTCATTTTGAATTAAGAATTTGAATTATGGATTAGGTTTGATTAAAATTAGGGTTTATGTTAGTTTAGGAAATTTGGGGAAAGTGAGTGAATGGGTTAATTATGGTCCAATTAAGCTTGAATTTTAATTTATTAGTGTCTAGTTATTGTTATTATTGATAAATGTAAATTTATGATGATAGAAGTAAGAGGATTTGGTGGAAGAAGCTACTTAAGGAAGAGATAATTGTAATTTGGGGTGTTCCTCTAGATTAGAGGTAAGTATAGCATATATTATGAGTCTTTACTATCATATATGTATATATTGCTTGTGAAGTGAAAAAAATTGATTGTATGGATAAATGCTTCATTAGTACAAATAATTATATATAAGTTGAATTATTTTAGTATGGATGTTCTTACCGTAAGTTAAATGAATTGAATTTGTATGTTGTCATATGAATTATGGTTATTAAAAAGAATATGGTACATTGAATGGTATATGTGCATGTTGATATGATGATCACTTGCATTAAATGGAATTGTGTGATTGATATATATTGAATGAGAATAATGATATTGATGATTTGAAAGAAAGTCTATGCAGGACTAACTAAGCTAACAAGGTTATAATTAGCCTAGGTGCACCTAGTATTGCTGGCTAGAGAATGGCCACGAGTGTTTCCCTTAGAGTTCACCCATAGTTTACCCTTTTGAGGGCCGGAGTTCACCCCTGCAGGGGCCATAGTTATCCTTTTAAGGGCCAAAGGAATAGACAATTCTGCATAGAGTGATTTCAAGTAATTATTAAGCTATTATTAATTGTTAAGAAAGAAAAAGAAAAAGTTATTGATTGCTTGCTTAGTTGCAAATCATGTATGATAGGTGCATTGGCATAATTGTATGTATAGCGATTTATAATATGTGTTATGCTTATCGAGTTTTGAAAACTCACCCTCAACCTCAAATGTTTTATAGATAATACGTAAGCTAGATCATAGAAGGAGGACGATAGATTTTTTGGATTTGAAGGTATTACCCGGACATTATTTTGCTTCCTCCGGTCTAGGACATCGTTGTTTCAAATTTGTACTCATTGTCAATTTTGGAATTGTAATTAGTCATTATATAGGCGTTTTATGGAGAACTTCTCATGGATAGCTCCTCCATTGACAAAGTTGACTCAAAATAAAGCGAAGTTTGAGTGGACAAATGCATGTGAGCGAGCTTTCAAGAGCTCGAGACTTAACCACGGCTCCAGGTGTTTGCACTACCATCGGGTTCTTGTGGGTATGTGGTTTATTGTGATGCATCAAGAATTGGATTAAGGTGTGTACTAATGCAACATGAAAAAGTTATTACCTATGCTTCTCGTCAATTAAAGAAGCATGAACGAATTACCCTATTCATGATTTGGAGATGGCGACGAATTATCTTCGCCTTGAAGATATGACGACATTATTTATTTGAAAAGACTTGTGAGATTTACACGGATCACAAGAGTTTAAAGTATATTTTTGAGCAAAGGGACTTAAATTTGAGACAAAGGCGGTGGATGAAGTTGTTAAAAGACTATGATTGTTCTATATTGTATCATCTAGGAAAAGCAAATGTGGTAGCAGATGCATTGAGTAGGAAGTCAATTGGGAGTTTAGCCCATATAGCGAGTTGAGATGAGGCCATTAATCTAAGAATTATATGGGTTACATAATCAAAGGATTTAATTAGAGATTAATGATAGTGGAATATTGTTAGCTCACATGAAGATACGACTAGTACTCCTAGATCAAATCAAAGCAAACCAGAGCTAAAGATGAGCAACTAGAAAAGATTAGAGATAGAGTTGTTAAGGGTGATAGGAAGAAGTTTAGCATGGATAGTGATGGTGTACTCGACTTAGTGTTAGGCTATGTGTTCCCGATGTGGAGGATTTGAGGAGAGAGATTATGGAAAAAGCGCATCGATCTACATACATGGTACATCCTAGTTCAACTAAGATGTATCAAGATTTGAAAGGAGTGTATCGATGGAGTGGAATGAAGAGAGACATTGCAGATTTTATGTCTAAATGTCTAGTGTGTCAACAAGTGAAGTTTGAGCACCAAAAGCCTTCGGGATTACTTCGGGATTTACCTTTACCGGAATGGAAGTGGGAAAGGGTAACAATGGATTTTATGGTAAGGTTGCCTTGTACTCGCTAAGGGTTATGACTCAATATGGGTAATTGTGGATAGATTGACGAAGTCGACTCACTTTATTCCAGATGAAGACTATTTACATAAGTAGCTCGGTATGCTCAACTATATATTGATAAGATAGTGAGCCTTCATGGAGTACCTGTATCTATAGTGTCGGATAGGGGCACATAATTTACATCATAGTTTTGGAGGAAACTTCAAGAAGCATTACGTACTCGACTTGATTTTAGTACTCGTTTTTCATCCATAGACGGATGGTCGGTCGGAGCGTACAATCCGGACACTTAGAGGACATGTTGAGAGCATGTGTTATAGATTTCGAAGGTAATTGGGAGCATCATTTGCCTTTGATTGAGTTTGCCTATAATAATAGTTATCGATCTAGCATTGAAATAGCTCCATATGAGGTTTTATACGATAGAAGATGTAGGTCTCCTATCCGTTAGGAAGAAGTAAGGGATAGAAAGTCATTGGGTCCGTAAATGGTATATTTAACTACAAAGAAGGTAACATTGATCGGGGAGCGCATTAGGAGAGCTCGCAGTAGGCAAAAGAGTTATGCGGATTCAAAGAGAAAACATCTTAAATTCAATATTGGTGATCATGTATTTCTTAAGGTGTCGCCAATGAGGGGGATCATGCGGTTTGAGAAGAAAGGAAAATTATCTCCTATATACACTAGACCATTTGAAATACTAGAGAGGATGGGAGCGAGTAGCTTAT